AGGTTGAGCAACATTGCCAACTAAGCTACTTAATGTATATGTTTTTAATACCTTAGTTATAGTATTTATGTATAAAAACGGGGGGGCCATGGCCCCCAAAGGCCCCTATAGGGATCCGCCCCTGCCTCTAATTATAATTTTAACTCAAACTACCATAATTATTAATTTCCTAATTTATCCGTTGATTTGTGGTTGAGATTGGATCTCACAGTTACCACAAACTAATCACTCTCCCTTGAATGCCCCCCCCCTCTCTCTCTCTCTCTCTCTCTCTCTCTCTCTATATATATATATATATATATAGCTTTTTCCGTTACAACACCAAATTATACTATTTGGTCGCTGTTGTGCTTTGAGATGAATTTCATTGTTAAGGCATTGGATTCTACCGTTTCACCATGTGTTTTCTAGAGTTCCTACAAAACTTTACCGTTACACATTGAAATCTAACTTTGGATTCATCATAACTTTGTAACATTTCCTTCTTATCCTATCTTGAACCCGATGTTTGGGTCATGCGTCAACAACCAACCTAGCAAATTGTATGCACCACGTGTTTGAGTAGTTAACTTGCAACAACTGGCAGGCAGAGAGCATGCTTTTCCATGTGTACGACCTTTTTACAATAACAACTCGTAGAAATTGGGGTTTGCAATATGAACGATCTCGTGAATGGTATTTGATGATACCGATTTGATGAGGGTTGGGATGATCACCAATATGATTATGACATGGATGACAATGATGATGAAGCGACAACGTTGTCAAGCAAACTTCTTTGACAAAAAATTTAATTTTAGTTTACTTTTCGTATTTTTATATTTCCCTCAAAAGTTATTATATACAAGTCATATGGACCTTTTAAGTTGTTGATTTTTTAATTCGTTGGTTTTGAATTTCTTGGGGCGTATTTGATATATTGGACTTGACAAGACATAACAAAATAAAGATTTTTGTTCTGTGTTTGATAAAACTTTTATATGAAACAGATAGGAACAAAGTGAAACATGACTATTCCACCCCTACTACATGAAACAGGGTGGAACGATATTTTATTAATATAACCTTAAAATAAAACTTAATTCTCTTTTAAAACATCAAATAAGTTTTTTTTTTACATTTTATTTATTTTTTAAATTTTATTTATTGTATTTTATGTTTTTTAAACATTCATTTTAGTTTTCTTAAAATATTATTTTTACATGATTTCTATACTTTTATTAATTTAATTATGCAATTTATTATGTATTAATAATAAAAAATAATGTAGAAAAAGGATAAAATAAAGATTGCAAACTATATAAACTTTTTATTTTGGTTTTATTTTTAATTGTTTTTACGAAAATTTTCTAATGATATATTTTGTTATAAAAAATAATTATTTTATTATACTTTAATAAATTACATAAATTAATCAAAATATATATAAACAACTTATTAGTACCTTTGGTCATTACATAATTATTTTCTAATGATATATTTTGTCACCACCTGCTACCGCCACCTCCACAGCCACCGTCGATCACTGACCACCACCGTGCATCGCCACCACCACCACCACCGTCCATTGCCACCACCACCACCACCATTGGTCACCTCCACCTCCTATTCCATTACAACAATCACCGTCGACCATCGACCATCGACCACCACTACCATCGTTGACCACCTCCACCTCATTCTCTACTACAACAACCTCCTCCACTAACATCGTCGATCACCGACCACCACCGTTTATCACCACCACCACCATTAGTATCTTTGGTCATTACCACCTCCACCACCACCCATCGCCACCACCAACTCCATCTCATGAGAAGCTAGGCTAGAAGGCCCTACCTTAAAATGTCCCCAGATAGCCAACGCCCACCAGGCTGCTAATATTGATAAATGCTCATCATAACCAACACCACCTCCACCTGCTACCACCAGCACTGCCACCACCACTACCTCTACCACATTGGTCTCCACTACCTCCTCCATCACTATCAACAGCCACCATCACCATTATCCACCATCGTCCACCAATTACCAATATTTCTACCTCCACAACCATTGTTATTGCAACAATTTTCACCTTATACTTGCCAATTGATAAGGATCTTCCAAAACGAATAAAACATATTTTTTCCTTTGTACGAATCTGTTTTTTTTCTAACTACCATCAATTATATCAAAATTTTCATTCAATTTGGTACTGTTATATATGTATGTGTTTATGAATATGAAACTTGTGTAAAAATGTTTATAAACTAAATTATTTAATCATTTACTTTATTTGTGTTAATTATAACTATTATATGATATATAAAATTATCAAATTACTTTTAAGGGCAATGTGTCTGTTATGTCATGTCCAATCCTAGTTGTACCAAACACCGGACATACACTTGTTGTGTCCAGACCTACCTAATTGAACAAGGTGAATTTTGTAAAATTGGTATTAGATCAAAAAACAATGTTCGTATCTGGCTAGAAGGGGGAGGGAAAGGGTATAATATGGCTATCATCTCCTCCAAGGTCTGTAATCGAGAATGCCATAAATGACGTCCTCGTCACTCATGTGAACCTGCATCATGATGAAGAATGAACACAAAATAATAAACTACAAAAAGGTTGTTTCGTTGCTAACAATTTAATGATCATATATCTTAACATGATTAACCCGGGCTTAGCTCATCCATCAAGCAAATTTTAACATAAATGGACTAAATAAATGAGATAAATTGTAATTCTTACTTTATCCGGCTATTGAACCTGGTTTCCCTCTAAGAGAAAGACTCAATCTGCCCAATACTATACGCTCAGAAGAACTTGATTAGAAAATTGAACGATAGCGATAGATACATGAACTGAAACAACTTTGACTAAAACAAACAAACATAGCTATATATATATATATATATATATATGAATTTTTTATTTTTTATTTTTTCTGAGTAATAGTTTTCATATATGTCGATGATCTATCGATGAAAGTATCCGTGAGTGACATACTTGTCGGTAATAATCACTTGTGTAGTAGTGAGTGAATCTACTAAAACACCATTTACTTTATTGATGAATAAGTTTTGTGTAATGAGTTAATGACCATCGATTAATACTTTGTAACCTCAATTCTACGAGAACAATCATGCATCCCTGATTTGCATTTTCTTTATCTCATAAAAAACCTGTAATATTAGAATCGATAAATGATAAATGAAATTATCGTGTTATTTCTTTAATATCTAATTAATTTTACGAAAACAAGTCCATGAAGTTGCATCAAGTTTTCAATTCATCCGTCACAAATATTAACTTACACTTATTAAATATGAATCGTTTTAAGCGACTACACTATTTTATTTTCATACTTAATTTAAAAAATGTAGATGTTTTTAGAAGTTCTGATTTTGGATCCATATAGGGCTTAAACTATCCACATAATTCTTTTTTAAAATTATGTTACCACGTCATATTTAATTACCGGTTACTTGCACAACAGGTAAATCAAACACTTAAATAAACAAAAACTTTGATTCAGACCCTAAAATAATGAATTTAAAAGTTTATCCTTTAAAATAGAAATAAGATAAAAGTTGGTTCCATTGTAATGCAATTTTTCCGTTTAGAAATATAAAACCAAAATAGTGTGATTTCAAATGTGAGAAATAAGATAAAAGAGTTTGTGTCGGTTTCGATTTTCACCCGAACCATGCAAATTAAAGACCCGATTTTAAAAAGTTATATAAACGAGAATCAATTGAACAAAAAAATCCGAAGCCAAATTAAACAAAAACATGATTCCAATTTATGGATTTGGGTTACGTAAATGATTAAAAAAGTTTGTAATTGTATTGTGGAGGTTAAATTTGAGGAATTGTGAGATTCAAGTCTTGGAGCATATAAAACATAAAGTTTACTGCACAAAACACTAAAAGTAGAAACAAGAACTCAAGAATTGGGGGAGAACATGGGTAACATTGGGGGACAAATGTAGGACCCACCTCACCGCCCATGCGCACGCAGACCCCTCTCTCTCTCTCTCTTCATGACCTAACCCTAACCCAAACAACACTTAGCCAAATACAAGACCAACATCAAACACCATCTCTCTCTCTCTCTCTAACCTTCACCAACAGCAACCAAATTCTTCATATATTCTTTTCTCAGCTGATTTCAAAAGAGAGTAGAGAGAAAGAAGTTGCAAATATGGAGGATTCAGCTCAGAATTTGGTTGGCTTTTCTGGTGAAGGTTAGCAAACCCTCAAGAAAACCAACAAAACATCTCTAAAACTTGCCAAGATTTAGGGTTCTCTAAGGGTATAATTAATTTGATCAAGAATTCAAGATGGATCCAGTCACTGCTCATGGTCGTCATCAGCTACCTCCTCCCTTTCATACCAGAGATCTTCAGCTGCACCACCACCAGCAGTTTCAGCAACACCATGGCCACCATCATCAACAGCAGCAACACCACCATCAACAGCAGCAGCAGAATTCCGAAGAGGACGAGCAAAGTGGTGGAAGTAGCAGCCTCAACCATGGCCAGAAGCGAGAGCGTGAAGACAACCACAATAATAACAATGATGGAAATAGAGAATTGGCGTCGGTTGTGACCGGTGGTGAAGGAGATCAGAGCAGCGGTGGAGGTGGTAGTGGTGGCTCTAGGCGGCTTCGTGGCCGCCCAGCTGGTTCTAAGAACAAACCTAAGCCACCTATAATCATCACTAGGGACAGCGCTAATGCGCTGAGGTCCCATGTGATGGAGGTGGCTAATGGTTGTGATATTCAAGAAAGTATATCGAACTTTGCAACAAGGAGGCAAAGGGGTGTGTGTATTTTAAGCGGTAGTGGCACGGTTACCAATGTTACACTAAAGCAGCCGGCAGCACCGGGAGCGGTTGTGACATTACATGGCCGATTCGAGATCTTATCATTGTCAGGTTCGTTTCTTCCTCCTCCAGCTCCACTTGCTGCTTCAGGATTGACCATCTATCTAGCCGGTGGTCAAGGACAGGTGGTCGGAGGAGGAGTAGTGGGGCCTCTATTGGCATCCGGCCCAGTGGTGATCATGGCAGCATCTTTCGGGAATGCTGCTTATGAAAGACTTCCTCTTGAAGACGAAGAGGCAACACCAGGTTCAGGCAATGGCCCTCTAGGGTCGCCTTCGGGTATCGGTAGCCAACCACAACTCATGAATGATTCGAGTCCATCGTTATTTCATGGATTGCCTCCCAATTTGCTAAATTCATGCCAGTTGCCAACAGATGCATATTGGGGGGCAAATCGCCCCCCTTTCTGAAACGAAACAAGTGTCACTGATCTTTCGTTTCATCCTATTTTCGCCTTTTAATTTCACCTTTGTAAGCCTCTTCCTTTCCGGATTTCATATAAATTAGTCGCTTGTGATGCTACTTATATACTTTAATAGCATGTTTCATTGATCTAAGAACTAAGGGTGTACAAAGTTTGTGAAATATCCTTCTTTATGGCTTTCAATCTGCTAGAAATAGAATTATGCCTCTTAACAGCTACGGGATATAATTAAGCATATGCTTGTCAAGTGATTCGAACCTTCTTCAATGAACTTACCAGTCTTGAATGTAAATTCGACCGCAAGACAACACCAATAAACAAATAACAATGAAACTCGATTTGATTTTTATATATAGTTTAGGTGTTTTATATGTATATTTATAGGTTTTCTTTTCCTGAAACATATCCATAAAATCCTCCAAAAATTACTTAAAATATCAACCTTAAAACTCTCATATTAATTAGAAACCCCACAGTTTATGATTGTATACTTTCTGTTTGCCATCATCATGATTCAATACATTAATTACTTAATATATATATATATATACCACCTCTCTTCCCATATTAATTTATAGCAGCAGTTCAATTATTTCTTATATATATATATATATAATCAAAAGTTTATATTAATTATCTTGAAGACAAATTCTTTTAATTTAATATTAAATAATGAGTGTAAGTTGGTGTGGGGAAGATTCTTGAAAGGATGGTACAGAAATGGGTGATGAAGAAGAGGTATGGAGTTAAGTGGGAGTTAAAGGGTTTGTGTATTTAGGGTTTTGCAGAGACATGAATATTGGTGTCACACGTGCAAATGCAATAACTCTGAATTTGGCTATTTTCCAAGGCAAGCAAGCAAGCAACCAACACATCTTACAACCCACCATTTTTTCAGCTTCCTTCTCACACCTACTTCACTTCTCTCTACACTCCAAAACCATGAATTATTTGTCACACATAAATTTTGAACTAGGGTTGTTTGTCATACGGTTTCAACGATTTAATTAACCTTTAAACTGTAATCATGCTTTATTTTTATTTTTTTCAAATCGAACGGTTTGACAACAAGTAATTAAACTGGTTAAATTGGATTAAAAAATGGTTTAATCTGATCGGTTTAGATAGTTTAGATTTTTTATAGACTTTAAGCCAGAAAAACATAACATCTATATATAAAATAAAATTTCTGTTAGTATAATATTATTAAAAATATAGTATATTGAATTATAAAAAAAATGTTTATTTCTAAAATTTAAAAGAACGTTGATTAAATTGGAAAAGCGTTGAACAAGTCCACCAACATTGGTTGATATATAGGACAATTATTGAGCAATTCGAATGACGAACTTTTGGATTTGATATTTGATGAATTTTGGAATTTTGTCAATTTTGATGATACGGTTAATTGGAAAATGAAAAGTAAAAACATAATTGTTTTAGACGGGATTTTTTTAATTGGTCTATAAAAGTTAAGCCTACAGTATGAAACTAAATATAATTAATACATGTGTATTTTTTATGGTCAATTCAGTCCAGACCTCTCAGAAAACGTTCAAACCACATACCATATCGAACCGAATGGTTTGGCTACACTACAACAAAATTGGTTTTATATGATGCCTAAAATGTCCAAGGGTCCTAATAAAATACATTACAAGACTTAAGTTTATAGGATCATACCAAAAAAACGTCTTATCTAAAAGTGTTACAATAAGTTTATAGAACGTTCTTAAACGTTTTAACAAGTTTATTAGGACGCTTTTAAAATGAATGGTTGTATTAGCTACTTTATATGACATTATTTGAAAAATTATCTTATAAGCACAGTGTTCTATAAATAGATGGATTTATAGGACATTTTTCAAAAGTGTCATATAGAAATAGCTAATAGAACAATTTATTTTAAAAGCATCTTAAAAAGCTTGTTAAAACGTCTAAAAACATCATATAAACCTATTAAAATATTTTATAATTTGGCCCTATAAACTTATATATTTTATAAATTATTCTATCAGAACGTTTAGACATTCTAGGCGTACTATAAAGCCAAATTTATTGTAGTGCTAATTTTCAGACCAGACCGAACCAATAGACCACTCAAACCATAAAAAACGATCCAGTTTAACTTGGCTTGATCGGTTTAAGCGGTCCAAAGGTGTTTTTATACAACACTATTTCTAACAATTTATCAAAAATATTATATATATATATATATATATATATAGAGAGAGAGAGAGAGAGAGAGAGAGAGAGAGGGAGAAGGGGGATCAAACAAGGATGATACTTTATTTAAAAGAATAAAAAAATAAGTAAGGATAAATCATTTCATTAAATAATACCTTAAATAAAACTTTCTTAAAATTATCCAAAAAGAACATATAATCATTTGTTATATATGAAAATTTATTTATTTATATAAAGATTTTATAACAAATTCAATTAA